GGCAATTGTAAAAATAAGAAACTTGGTAAAAATCTATACCAACTAAATCAATAAATATCATTCATATTAATTTTCCTCATTTTTAAGTTGATTTCTTTAGTTGATATATAATTGGTTCCTTCTTTAAGAAAAATCCACACTTATATGTCCTATGGTCATATAAAGTTGTGCGCGCGCGCGTGCACACACACACACACACACACAATAACCACCAACTAAAACTTCAAATGGGTCAATGAAATTTTTTATTATCTTTCATGGCCGTAGAGCAGTGTTTCTCAACCTTGACAATTTTAAGGCATGTGGACTTCAATTCCCAGAATTCCACAGCCAGCAATTGCTGGCTGTGGAATTCTGGGAATTGAAGTCCACATGCTTTAAAATTGTCAAGGTTGAGAAACGCTGCCATAGAGGGTATATATTCCTTCCTTCCTTATATATCAGCGCCTGTTTGGTTTTAATAGTACCTGCTACACACAATAAAATATATTTGACCTACTTCCTGCCAACCCAAAACTGTTGCTTTGCAGTCCCTCTTCCCTCATTTCCATTCAATACAAACAATGTCTGGGGAGGAGAGGACCAACAACTTCAAGGGTACCAGCTTGGGAAAGGCTATACCAGTGAACTGAAAGCCTAAAGTGTAGCAAGTTGACAAACTGATGAAGGTTTGTTTATCAGGTTAAACAATTACTTATATGTGATTATCCTTGATTACATGTGATTATCCTACTTACAATTGTCTGCAAATTGAATGTGTGCGCATGCGCATCTGTTTTAATCACATTTTTAAAAAAGAGTTATATACTTCCACTTAACTACTATTTCTTTAGGATGGTATAAAAATAAAGCCATTAAGTGTGATGTTTATTATTTGTATAAGTTCTAAAGTTTACTTTTAAAATAATTGAAAAACACCTTCTTTCATTTTCTGGGAAGGGATTAGGGTTACTTCCAAGAGAAACAAAACTAGCATAAATGTGTGTGAGAGCTCAGATGCATTTATAAGGAGTTAATTGTAAAGGATGCACCATCTATCAATGTGATAGACTTAATCTCCTTCTAATTCCCCTTGAACTTTTTCTTTTTTATTCTTGTTTTGTTTGCATATTATAATGCATATTAGTCTGATTTTAGCTTTGCAAAAAGCCCCTTACAAAAAAAATATCAAATAATGTCCATGGTATACAGTTTAGTTATGTGTCTAGACTGAGCCAGACCAAATTTCTCTGTAAGCAGACTAGCCTCCTTCTTCAACGCAAGCATCTGCCTGATTATGTGTCTAAAGCAAATCATCTTGGAACCAAGGGGCTTAACTTCTTAGGTTTGCAAACATGGTCAGAAAAGACCATGTTTACATATCATTTACATATCATTTCAGCGCAAACGTTATCTAGATAGTTGTTTTAAGAATATGGGGGAATGAGGAAGCAACAAATTATGATGCAACTAGATGTTCCCATTGCCTTTTCTTTGTCTAAAAATAATTCCAGTACTATAATTTGGATTGGATCTGTGGTTATAGGACATAATTTTTCAGATACATTTTATTTTATTTTGAACTTTTCTGTTTGGTCCATTTTCAGTTCTTTCCCTCTACTCCATTTCTTTGTTTAAATCAATTTCCAGCTAATATTAGCTAATGTAAACCAATCCCTAGCATCACAGGTGTCATCAAAATTCCTCCTTCCCAGATGCAAAGGGAGCTGATCAAACATTTCTGATGTCATACAGCTTTGCCCCAGTTACCTGACACAAACATCACATTTTTCTTCTGATGCATTTTTTTTTCATTCTATACTCCTTTTTTATCTTCAAATACTGAAAACAGCTTTTTCAGTGATTATGATTTCCCTGTATAGATATTCTTCCACTTACAACAGTTCATTTAATGACCATTCAAAGTTACAATGGCACTGAAAAATGTGACTTATGACCATTTTTCATGCTTAAGACTATTGCAGCATCCCCAGAGTCACGTGACTAAAATTTAGATGCATGGCAACTAATTCATATTTACGATGTCTGCAGTGTCCCACCTTTTATAACCTTCTGACAAGCAAAGTCAATAGGGAAGTCAGATTCACTTAACAACTATGTTGCTAACTTAACAACTGCAATGATTCTCTTAACAATTGTGGCAAGAAAGGTCATAAAATAGGACAAAACTCACTTAACTGTCTTCCTTAGCACTCCATCCAGCCACCTGATTCTCTGTCGTCCCATTCTTCTATGGCCCTCAATCTTTCCCAGCATTAGGCCCTTCTCCAGTGAGTCCTTCCTTCTCATTAGGTGGCTAAAATATTTGAGTTTCAACTTCAGGATCTGGCCTTCTAAAGAGCAGTTGGGGTTGATCTCTTCTAGGACTGACTGGTTTGAACGCCTTGCAGTCCAAGGGACTCGCAGGAGTCTTCTCCAGCACCATAGTTCAAAGGCTTCAATTCTTTGTCGTTTGTTGTTATATGTAGCTATTAATTATCATATTATTTAAAAATCTATATTCTTACAAGATCTGTTCCTAACCTGGTGTTTCAGTCTTTCAACATTGCCACTATAACTGAGTCCATCAACCTTGCTGCTGTCTTCTTCTTCTCTTTCCTTCCATCTTCCCAACAATAAAGCTTTTTGTAGAGAGAGTTCACATAATGTGTCTGAAGTAGGATAATTTGAGCTGGATATATCCGGCTTCTTCAAAAACTAACTTTTGTTTTTATAAATATTCACAGGCAATAAATTCCACAGTTTACACAATTCTTATCTTTGTAGGGGCAGAAACACCACAGTATTTCAATATTTTTTCCAAGGCCTTCATGACTGCTTTACCAAATGCTAGTCTGCAGTGTATTTCTGGCTGAGGAATTCTGGGAGTTGAAGTCCACAAGTAATAAAAGGGCCAAGTTTGAAGACCCCTATCTTAACTGCTTGTTCCCTCACGTCTAATGGCTGTTCCAAAAAGGCAGAAGATAACCACCACTTCAGTGTCTTTTTTTTGCCAATTTTAAGTCTGGTTGTTCTACCCATCATTAGTTTGTAAATAATTGTGTGTGTGTGTGTGTGTGTGTGTGTGTGTACAATTTTAGTCCTCCCTTTTTACTTTGCTCCTTAACATTTATTACCAGAGCTTGCAGATCCTTTGCTTTTCTGCCATCAGGGTTATGTCATCAGCACAATACAGGTTATTGATGCTTCTTCCTCCAATTTTAAAATTGCACTCATCTTCTTCTTCCAGCTTCTCTTAATTTATGTTTGCCTATAGGCTGAATAAATAAGATATTTATTTATTTAGATTTATTTATTTAGAGTATACAGCCTTCTAACATTCCTTTGCCAATCTGAGGTGAGTCGTTATGTTCCATATGTACTGTAGCTTCCTGATTTCTATGTTTCTCATGAAAACATTGAGATGCTCTGGGATTTCCATTATTCTGGGCATTTTCAGCTTGATATGATCAATGCAATCAAAGGCATTTTTGTGATCAACGAAGCACATAGTGACTTTTGGGGGGTTATTCTTTGGCATTCTCAATTATCCAGGATGCTTCAGCAGTAATGTCTCATGTTCCTTGGCTTTTCCTAAAACCAGCTTGAACATCTGGCATCTCTTTTTCCATTAGAGCTCTAATCCGTGTTGCATGATCCATATTTTGCTAGCATGTGAAGTTAAGGATATTATACAATAATTTGCACACATTGTTATGTCCCTTTGTTAGTATTGGAGTATAGATGGATCTTTTCAAATTTGTTGGCCACTGTATTGTCCTCCAAATTTGCCATATACTGTATGTATACACATATTTAAGGGAATTTAAGGGAAATATAAAAATATTTAAAAGCAAAGCAGACACAAATTATAATATTTCTGACTGGGAATAAATATGTTTCTTCTTTAAAATCTTTTTATTGTCATGGCCATCAATTTCTATTTTGTTTTATGAATTTGTAACTGAGTAGTGGTATCTTGTGGTCTGACTAGAGCATTGTATCTTGTTTTAGACTTTTTTTTTTTTTAGGCAAACTCATTTAGAAGCAGCTGTTCTTCCGAAAGCAGCAGAGGGTAAGATATGCCACTACATTACCAAAAAAATTCTTTGTTTTTATTATTGGCTATGATTTATGCTGAGACAGTTATGTGTAGTTAATATGATGCTGGTCACCAGAGCTATCCTTATTATGTGAGGCTTTGAGTTGTTCTCATATGACAGTGTAGCAATATGCTTACTTTTTTTTATCTTTCTAAAGCAGTATTTCATAAACTCCCTCTCCTCCCCTTTCCCACTTTTAAAAATTATGGAAGAGCCCAAAAGACATTTTGTTTGTGTGTGTTATGTTTACCAATATTAAAAATTAAAACTGACATATTCACTGCCACTACTCACAGTTATATGATGGGATTTTAATATAATATTGTAACAGAGTATTTTTTAAATATAGGTGGCAAATAATTTTGAGTGAAACCTCTGAGAAGTTCTTGGGGAACCAAGGAGTCCTAGGACCACACTTTAAGAAACATTATTCTAAGCTATAGATCCACCAGACACTGATCTTGGTATAGGTGCTTCGAATCTACTGGTTTTATCTCTCTACTCAATATTATGGACTGCAGCAATTCTGAACCTGTTGGAATGTGACAAGATTTAAAATTTTGGTACACCCTAATATATTTTTGTCCTTTTTATTGTTATGTGTTTTTATTCCTCTTTGTATGCTGCAGTGAGTCTCTTGATGACAGTAGGCAGTTTTAGAAACCGCTTTTTCTAAACTGAGACATAAACAAGAAGCATGATTATGTGACTTGGGGGAGGAAAAAAGAAACTATATAAAAATAATGAGATTGCTACAATTATTTAATAATGAATAAACAAAAATACTAGAACTAGGCTGCAAAAAATCTAGACGTCCTCTAGATAAAAAACAAAAACTAAACGTCCTGAATCTCTTTGCTGACATTTGGTGGTTTTGTGAAATTTTGCAGCTTAGATCTTATCCTCCCATGACCGGACTAGAAAGGCTATGGTCAGTACTCTTCTTCCTCTCTGCATGGCTGAGAAGTCTAATAGCAAGGAAAATAGATTCCTTTCACAATTATCCAAAGGTGACTGACCTTGTGTGTCACTGATAAGTTTCCTTCTCCATGTATATTTAAGGATGCTGGTCAAAAGAAAAAACTAAAGGCAGTTTATTGCAGGAAATTAGTCCAATTTATGCAATCTCCCCCACAGCGCGTGGTCAGTACCGGGGCTGACCCTGAGGGGAGGGGGGGCGGCCCTCGGAAGCAGCACGCGCTGACCCCCCCCCCGAGAAACACTTGAAGAAAGAAAAATAATTCCTCCAGCGGCCGAAAGGTGGGAGGCATTTCATCCGCGGCAGCACGAAAGCGCTCTCCGTGTGGTCCGTCCAGAGATTCGGCGGCGAGAAGCGGCGGTGCCGAGGCTGAGGGAGCGCCTCCCGTCTCTGGCCCCTGCGGAGGAGGAGGAGGAGGAGGAGAGGACGAGGAGGAAGAGGCGTGAGGGTGGACAGCGATTCCCTTTCGCTGCCAGAGGGCTGCTGTGCGCACCGACTATGCCATGAGCGCCGCCGCCGCCGCCTCTTACTTAGAGCCGCCAAAACGCAGGAGACCCGAGGCGCCGCCGCCGCCGCCCCCTCGCCATGCACGGGCTGTGCTACTCACTCTGCTTGGTGGCAGCCGCTGCGGTGGGGCTTTCGAAAGCCAACAGGAATTGTCCGGACCTGGTCCTTGACAGCTGTCTCTGCACCGCAGAGCGCGCCAAGGGACCCGGCCGGCAAACGCTGCGCATCAAAGTTGTCTGCAGCGGAGGCGAGTTGGCGGAAACTTTGCACCCCTCCCTGCTGCCCAACCGCACCGTCTCCTTGTGAGTAAGAGGACAGGGAATGGGAGGTGGGGGGGGGGAGCAGCGCTTAATTGTGCGAAGAGGCTCAGATCGGATCCCTGGAAATATTACAGGGCGGGGCGGCACTTTGTGCATGGTCAGAAGCCTCTTCTCTTCCTTTTTTGCCCGGGGTCTCCGATATAGCCCTAGCATTTCCTGTACATTCTGGGTCTAGAAAGAGCTGCGAGGGGAACCCTCGGGTGGAATCTGCTGCGTTTGAGGGCGAAACGTGGATTAAATGTTATTGGTTTCAGACAAACCCAGTTCCATGACAGAGGGCTTTACACCGCCTTTGCGGGATTTCTTGGGAGGTGGGGGACTATGGGCAGGAAATCCCTCTGTCAAAGGGCCTGGCTGCAGACCTCTGAACCGAGGAAAGGGGCATAAATGCTGGTTGCTGCGTTTTTCCAAACCGAGCATGTCTATTGTTGAAGGAAATTAGCTCTTTCTGGAAACGGAATGAGTTGGACAGAAGGAAGGGCTGAAAAGAGTTATAGGATTCTTTCCCCTCCAGAACTGTAAAGGCTAGTTTAAGGATCCAGCTTTCTCGGGTCTCGTGGAAAGTTTGATTCCTCGCATGTTAACTTTCCAGCTGAAGAAAGACAAACTCACCTATGGGCGCGGGAATGCTGAACAGATATTTTGTGTACCCTTGGAAATCCCACACCTTTTTCCTCCTGCAAAAGAAGTGTGATAGGAAGCAATACTTTGGGGATTTTCTGATGTGAAAGAAGGCAGGAATAGTATATTCTGACATTATCTTTCATAAATAGAAATCATCCTGGAGGAATAAGGTCTGATTCTTGATGCAGCTATTTTTGTCTAAAAGCTTGTACAACAGAAGTGTGAATTTTCTTTCTTTCGGAACTTTTGCTAGCATTTTATTTGTTTTGGGGGAAGTAATGTATACTGGAAAGTAAATTGAACGCTACCATGCCCAGTGGTTTTCAAATAATACTCCCATGCTGTGGCTTATTTCAATTGAAGTACTTTAAACCCGACTGAGGATAATTTCAGACCCTAAAGATAACAGCCACAAATGCACTGAATAATAAAGGTTTAACCAGATTTGAGAAATGAGATCTATTCTCCATACATTAGATGCCAATTTTAATGGTTTAAAGTTACAAAAATCTCCATTCCCCCCAAGCAATGTTAAAAATATATTTTCAATCAGTTCCTGTTACATAAACTAAAATTGATAGGTCTGTTTGTATGCAAATTTACTTAGATGTTATCACTGAAATCAATAAGAATAATATGAAATGCCATTAAACATGGACTGTAGATTAGTAAACTGATCTGATTAACAAGTTTGAGTATTTCGATTTAAAATGCAGAGCAGTCTGGTTTATATTGTGTAAATTTTATTCTTACAGCCTGATCTATGGTTTATTTAAAACAGTGTTGAATGTAATTGTATCATCATTTTTTCCCCTCTAAATGATTTATTCATCCAACAAGTCCAGTGCTGTTGAGTGTAATGTTTTAGATGACTAAAACAACTCTTGCTGTGAAAATTTCTAGTCTTTGCCTGAACTTTATTCTTAAACTTGACACTTTTCAGAGAGACAACTGAAAAAAGAGAGTAATTTACAACATCTGTGGAGCTTGTGCTTGGAAAATACAGATGTGCTCTGCGTTCTGTTACTCAAACTTTGGCTTGCTCTATTCTTACTATTCTTCTGGGAATCTCTTATTAAGGTATAAATATGCCAACTTCATTTTGAATGGAACTCTTCTGAAATAATCCTGTCAACATCATAAAACTTAAGTAATATAATTTCTGATGTAATTACTTTAAGGATACAATGCTAACATGTACATATAAATTTGAAATATATTTAGAAGAACTGGTGTGTATAGGATCATAGACATTAATTGGGAGTAAGCCATATTCAACATACTGATTTTTCCAGTAAATACTCATTGGACTATGCAGTATGTTCCTCTCTTAGAGGTTATTAAAGGCTACCTCCACATGTTCTTCTGCTCTCCATCCTTGAGTTATTCAGTGAAATTTGGAATATTGTGAATTCACACTACAGAGATGTGAAATCTGCTGTCTCCAGTGCTGATCCCAATCCTTTTCCTGCCTTTGTTAAGTCACTTCCGCCCAAGATAATTAGTGACAAAACCTAACAGGTTTATAATATACCATGAAGCTACCCCTGGATAATGTTTTAATAAGGGAAATACTAGTTTAATATACTTGTCTTGGACTGCTTGTGAGATGAAGGCAGTATTATAGGACATGGCAGAAACAATAACAATAACCATGGTTAGGTGCAAATAGGGAAAATTATATTCCTTATTATTCAAATATGGATTCATTTTGGCAGGTTGCTTGCATTATAGTTGTAAACAATGTTTTCTTGAAATAAAATACATTCATTTCACTTGTCTTTAATGGTTTGAAAGGTAGATCTATATTATTAAATGTATACCCTTTTGTCCACAACCACTTAACGCAGAGTATTTTGATAAATTTAAACTGTTTTATATTAATTGAACTGGTAGAATAAATGAAGCCAATAATATACATTTGCTGACTTATTATCCTATTCATGGTACTATAATTATATAGAGTTTTCAAAAGATTGTTTACAAATGAAAAAGACCAAACCTGTACAGTACAGAACAATTATTTCTTTTTAAAGGAATCCCATTTAGTGTTTATTTCCAGGTAAGTACAGAATTGCAGCTTAACAGTACATTTCAGCATTAAACTTTTAAACTGTTTTCCTATTTTGACCATTTATTTTGCAAGTAAGTTAAAGGAAATTAGAATATTTAAAACAGATGCTCAAGCAAAATATTAAAATTAAAAGGAAATGCTTTGTTCAGTAGCTGAATATTTTAACTGACTGATTGAAAGTGTCAAATACTTGCTATAGAGAATTAGGTTTTGGTTAATCAGATTATATGGTGTGACATTTTGTCAGCTGCAGAAATTGGTGATAAAGTTCATGGAAGACGTGGGAGCAAATATTTTTATAGCTGTTTACTTCTACTTTATTTTCTCTCAGAGAAGAGGCTCAGTGAATGGAGCACAACATTTCAAATGATTTTAACATTTTACCTAATTGAAAAAAATTATTAACTCTTGTTTCAACTTTCGTTGAAATGGTTTTTGATACACACAGCTGAATTAAGGATAATTGCTGTTAAAGGATTTGTAGGTTCTGGCCATTTTCTGGTGTTTGGGTGTCAAGAGGGAATTTCTCAAGCTTGATTTGTATTAACAGATTTTAGCAACTGTATATTTTGGGATGGTCTAAGAGAAGTTCACATAAATTAATGAAGCGAACTGGCAGGTGAATTCAACTGAGACAATTAAGCAGCTGCTCTGCATTCTTGATGTTTAAAATGAAACTTTTTAAAAAATATTCTCCATGCATGCCATTCTGACTAATAATTCATGTTCCTAGAGATGGGAACTCTACAATTTTAGCTCTTTGGTTTTTGTAAAAATGCATTTTGATTTATAATAAAAAATAATACTGTAGTGCAGGGGTCCCCAACCTGTGGCCTCGGCCTAGTACTGGTCCGTGGCCTATTGGCCAACTGGCCGCAGGAATGGGGCTGGCCGCTGTGTTGGCACTAGCAGCCCCTTTGCCCATGCAAGTGGGCACTAGCATGGCTCTTTGCATGCATGCTGGCAGTAGAAATGCGGTGGGTGCGGCCCATTTGCACATGCACGCAAATTTACCTGCTCTCCTTTTCTCTCTGGACCACCAAAGTGAAAAGGTTGGGGACCTCTGCTGTAGTGAATGAAGTATTTCACACTTCAATGTTAGATTAATAGTGTGTCACTAAATGATTAGAGGTAGACTCCATTTTACTTGTCACCAAATTTATCAAGATAATTGAGCTATTATAAAATATTGAAATACAACACTAGCTGTTTTTATCACTGGTAACATAAATACCAGATCATTAGAAAAAATGAAGAACTCCAGATCAAATCCTATAGATGTAAGCTTGGCTAATACAGGTAGTCCTCGACTTACAACCACAATTGAGCCCAAAATTTCTGTTGTTAAGAGACACATTTGTTAAGTGAATTTTGTCTCATTTTACAACCTTTCTTGCCTCAGTTGTTAAGTGAATCAGTTGATAAGTTAGTAACCTGGTTGTTAAGTAAATCTGGCTTCCCCATTGACTTTGCTTGTCAGAAGATTGCAAAAAGCAATCACATGATCTTGGGATACAGCAACTGTCATAAATATGAGTCAGTTGCCAAGCATCTGAATTTTGATCACATGATCATGGGTATACTGCAAAGGTTGTAACTTTGAAAAATGGTCATAAGTCACTTTTTTTCAGTGCTGTTGTAACTTTGAACAGTCACTAAACGAACCATTGTAAGTCGAGGACTGCCTGTATTTAATTGCTAAGTATGTTGCATATTTATTATATATTTATTGATAGGCATTCAGAAAAACAAAGCAGTGTTATATGTACTAACCATTAGTACAGCAATAATGCCCTTGATTAATATAGTTTATTAGCAATTAACTATGACATAAAATTTCATTGATTTAATTTGTAAATTTACTCTGGTTTGCTAATTTGCTCAGGTTTATAGACAGTGCTCTTATTTCAATAATCCTTTATTGATTTGCAGAATCATGTTATATTAGTTTGTCATGATAGCTGATTCCTATAATTCTTTTCTATAATGGTTCAAAGTTTGTATTTGGGGTTTTTGTACAGTTTTTTTTAAATCAGAGTCTTTTAAAACTACTTTGATTATATATATTATTTCTATTCTATTCTGTACCATATTATCACACATTAATGGATTTGTTGAGGATGGAAGTAATTGCAATGTGATAAAAATGAACATCCGTATCATTTTATGATAATGTATTGTCAAAAAGTGGCTCTGAATAAAAAAATTCAAAATAATTCCACATTCTATAACTTGTAAATATTTATTACTACTATAACTACTACTAACTTGATGCCGTTTGGAG